TAAAAGAATATAAAGATGTATACTATTTTATACTAAATGAAAGATTATTTCATAAAACAGGCAGTTAAAAACTAAAAGAGTCCCGGTGAAAAGAGACAAATAAAACAGGGTTGGCCTTGAAAAGTAGTTTATCTTAGGCCCTATGTAGGCCTATCGCCACAGAATTTTCTATAGAATGGTCCCAGCAATTGGAATTGTGATTAGATTATTCAGTAAAGCAGGAATTGTCGTTAGATTATCCACCACAGCAAAGAAAAATCATCACAATAGCCATTACACCAGAATTTTCGTCACAATATCCATTACACCAGAATTTTCTTCACAATAGCCATTACACCAGAATGGCTTTTCAGCTTGGTTCTCACAGTAGGATTTTCTATAGATTGGTTCCAACAGCACCATTTTTCTTTAGAATATCCATTATATCAGGAATTTCATGAGATTATCCATCCACAGTAGAAATATTCGGCAGAATAGCCACTACACCAGACTAATTTTTTTGTCAGAATAGCTATCGCAGCAGAATTTTCTATAGAATGGTCCCAGCAATTGGAATTGTGATTAGATTAGGCCATGTTGAATTGATTCCTTGTTTCTCCTGCCCCCACTCTGGCAATCATGTGCGGTAGTGCGGTAAACACAACACAAAGTGGGTTTCAAAACACAAAGTGGTCTGGCATAATACCTATATAGTCTGAGGGTTGTGTACCATTTTTAATATTATAAATAATCTAGTTATATTATTGGTTAGAATAAAAACACAGATAATATTTATTGAATAAATTTAACAACAAACTAATATTTGGTAACAAGTGGCTTCTTTGTTTAACTTTTTAAAAAATGAAATAACCATATTTTGATATAAATTTTCCGTATTCTTGTGTTACAATACAATGGAAACATTCCAGTTAGACAAAATTTGATTCCCTTGTTGAGTTATAGATGGTTTCGACAATATCATCGAACGTGAAAGTGCTGGGAATACCCACCAAAGTCGAGTCGAGATAAGGTATTCGCGTACCGGTCGGCCTAATTTATTGATGTTCAAGGAAATAAATAGTGGTCCCGTTCGTTCGTTAAACTCCAGAAACGAACGAACAGGACCACTTATTTCCTTGAACATCAATAAATTAGGCTGACCGGTACGTGAATTTACCTATGTCCCGGCATAGCTCACCATTTTGTAAGACGTGCGTTATTAATTACACAAGATATGATTGGTTAATACTTAAATAATAATGATGTGTTATAATTTTAGCCAATGAAAATATTGATTATTCAGGTTCGCGGTTGAATATTAGCGACTGTCTTACAGTTTATAATATGCTTTCTCATTAGCCGAAATGACTGCTACAGGTGCCATTTTGTGGAATTCATCCAATCAAATACAGGGTAACTTATTCTATAGTATGCGGGCCCCTACATGTGTATTATCAACCGGATCCATTCACTTGATTTGATATTTGTTTATTCGGTGCAATGCTTATTTTCTGTATTGTCCGCAGGTTTATCTTGTAGATTTTTGTTTTGCATGTAGTGCGGTCCCCCTGCACTTATTTAGTTCGTAATGAGGAATAAACGAGAATTGACTTCTGATGTTTGGTCGAATTTTATTTAGATGTTATTAACGTAATTTTTTGAATATTTTTTTTTGTGTTAAAAACGTAAGCGCACGATTTTCGGGTCCTCGACCTAAGCGCACGGGCGAGGAGAAACAAGGAATCAATTTAACATGGCCTTATTCAGCAGAGCAGGAATTGTCGTCCTGCTTCCTCTAAGGAATTAAACATCTTTGTTGGCAGGTCCGTCGCCATATTTCTCTGCTCTGAATAATATCCAGAAAGCGACCTTTCTCCGATCATGTCAAGGCGTGGTTAGGCTTTTTAATTCCTGTCTACAAATACGTTAGAATGTCTGTTCATTTAGCTATTGGTAGCTCCCCCCCCCCCTTTTTGTGTTTTTACTAGGTGCGATATAGCATCAACCTTCTTTTCAGTTTTAGGGGAAGTGGGTGCTTTCCCCAGCGATTGCTCGCAAATACTGCAATATAAATTAAATATGCTTGAAAGGCCAATAAAATTATCCTCATATAAAACCACATAACTGCTGTGACATGTAGGACAGCATAAGTTTGAAATTAAGGACTGCAAGAAGTCAGTGCTTACAATCCTGAATCCAAATGAACCATGCATAGACCTAGTTATAGTACTACTAGTAGAAACATCATCTACAGATGAACTGGTATCAAAATCAAAGTGACTAAATTTTTTGGCAGTAGGCAATATAACAATATTATTATCAACCTGATTATTATTTATATTTAAATTCGTTGCCGTGTATAAATTTACACCTGAACTATTAATAGTATTACTACCTGAACTGGTACTAGGTGTAGATCTAGCAATAGCACTGGCAGACGAATTTTCATCATCATTCAGTATATTATTATTTATGAATGAAACTGTGTCATTTGGCCTTCCTTGTGACACTGTAGATGTTCTCCGACGACGTCTACCAAACTTATTTAATGATGTAAATTTTTTCAAAGGCATTTTTATACGCCCACATAGAAATGTGGACGTATATTGCCGTCGCCCCCCGTCCATCGTCCACAATTTCTTGTGAACGCTCTAACGCCAAAAGTTATTATCCAATTGTTTTAAAATCGATATATGTTGTTTACATTAGTGAGATGAAGAAGCCTATTTAATTTCAATAATTTCCGTTTATAACGTCTAGAGTTATGGCCCCTGTTTCACTTTGTTGAACCCTGTGAACGCTCTAATGCCAAAAGTTAACATCCGATCTTTGTGAAATTTATATGCAATATTTAAATTAGGGAAACAAAGAAGCCTTTTGAATTTCAGCAATTTTCATATATTACTTCTAGAGTTATGGCCCTTGTTTCACTTTATTAAACCTTGTGAAGGCTCTAACCCCAAAAGTTATCATCCTATCTTTCTGAAATTTATATGCATTAATTAAATTAGTAAAACGAAGAAGCCTATTTAATTTTCAATAATTTCCGTTTGTTACTTCTAGAGTTATGGCCCTTGTTTAACCTTGTGAATGCTCTAACGCCAAATGTTATCATTTGATCTTTCTGAAATTTATATGCATTATTTAAATGTGTGAAACAAAGAAGCTTATTGAATTTCAGCAATTTCTGTTTATTACGTCTAGAGTTATGGCCCTTGTTTCATTTTATTGAACTTTGTGAATGCTCTAACATCAAAAGTTATCTGCCGATCTGTATGAAATTTACATGTGTCATTTAAATTAGTAAAGAGAAGAATCCTATTGAATTTCAGCAATTTCCGTTTATTAATTCTAGAGTTATTGCCCTTGTTTTACTTTGTTCAACCATGTTAATGCTCGATTGATGAAAGTTATCATCCGATATGTATGAAATTTATATGCATCATTTAAATTTGTGAAACGAAAAAGCCTGTCAAATTTCAACAATTTCTGTAGATTACTTCCAGAGTTGAGACCCTTGTTTCAAATTTGTAGAACCTTGTGAATCCTCAAACAGCAAAAATTATAATCTGATCTGTATGGAACTGTCTTGTAAAGACCCCTAATTACCTACAAAGGAATAAATATGCGACAACCCTTGTCGACCGCTCGGACGATTTAGCATCTGTGGGCGTATGTTTCGTTGCCTGGCAACCTATCTTATATGAAATTCTGTAGAAATATTGATAAACAGTCACGTAAGTGATCAATAATATAGTGATAGCCACGATGACAGATATCTAGGGCATTGACTTAATGCGCCTGCGTGATGGCCTGACCTGGAGGGTTGCTGGTTTCTGATTGGACAAACCAACACCCGACCTTCCTGACTTACCAATCAAATAACGTGGTCTAAAAATAACCATATTAGGTATTCAAAACCATTTCTGACAGGTATAGGATGGCATGCTATTTTTATCTCTATGTGAGGGAAATGTTTCAAGGCACCCCAGAAAACGTCATTTCCTTTCAATACGGGAAATCCCAAGCTTTATAACGGTATCAAACATGGCGGATGTTTACAATTCGGAAGCCAAGTATTTCGCGTGTGAAGTGCCTATTGTTTTTAAACTTATATCAATAATTTTTATGGAAATTGAGTGAAATAGAAAGGAGAGAGAGATCATTCAGAACCAAATTTTGTCGAAATATACATGAATTTTTTGAAAAAAATGACTGATGTGTTCTTAGATAGTGTAGGTGACAGAAATTCATGAAACCTCAAAAACGATTTTTATTATGAAATTCAATATATGAAGTGCGAACGACGGCCTTAAGTTATTTGTAGGCCCAGAATCGCCTACAAATTCGTATGGGACAACGGGGTCAAAATTATCCTCTTTCCAAACCAAGTCTTTGGTCTTATAAAATTCTTCATCGCAATTGCCGTCACTTTCGGAAGAAATGTCAACATCGGATTCCGTGTTTCCACGTGGTCGTCCAGTGTTTTCGATGTCTGCCGCAGTAAAGCCATCAAATTCTTCATCAGAATTAATGAAATTATCATTAAAATCCTTATTAGTAATATAGGCAGCCATTACTAGAAAAATATTTTTCGAAGATCGCTGATTTTAAAATCAAAATATCTCGATAAAAGTGAATATAAAGCTTGTTCATGTGACGCACCAATTTATAGCTAATAAACAAAGGAAGTTGAAGTCCCGTCTCGCTGACTACGAGAGCGTGATTTCCGATAAAAAAGCGAAATACGAATGTGGTTAGTACCGGGTGTTTACAGGCGGTTTAGAGTCGAGAGGCAGCCAAAGACAATAACTTTTTAGCTTGGCCCCTGATTGAATAAAAAAAATCTGTTTTGTTTTTAGCTTGTTCTCTATCCATCTCTTGCAAAATGTGAGCGTATCCTGCCTGGCAGCCGCTGGTTATTTATTATAGTGAGAACTGCCAGCTCTTTATCTAATCTTCCATAATTTATCTTTAATGTTATTGTATGTAATATCTAACTTTTAATTATGTTATTTCAGTATCAATTTTACCACAAAAAATTAGTTTTAATGTGGATAATGTCAGAGTTTGTAAAGTTCTGGTAAGTTTCATGGAAATAAGGTTTTATTGCTTTTGATAGTGCATATATATGGGTCCAGTGTTTAAGATTCAACAAGAAAAGTTGTAAGCCAGCAGGACCCGATCGAATTCATGAAAGATTGAAATGAAACTGTCCAACAAAATAGCCGCTCTTTGTACGCAAATTGTGTAAAAGTATGTATTACAATGGTTGTAGACCCACTAGAGGTTACAATTTTTATCTGATTTTGATGAAACTTAAAACATATCTTTATATTCCAAAGATCTCGATTCCCTTTTGATATTTGTGCATTTCAGACCATAACTTTCTGGATTATTGCCCCTAATTGTACAAAAATTGCGTTTGTTTTTAGTTTGTTCTCTATCCATCTCTTGCAAAATGTGGGCGCATCCTGCCTGGCAGCCGCTGGTTTTTATATTGTCGTCTCCCCTGTTCGTCCGTCCATCCACAATTGTTAGCCGCTGGTTAGTAACAAATGAATGTCAGCAATAATTGATGGGTGTTCGAAGGAAGTAAATATTTTACCGATGTTACAAATGGAAATAGGACGTGAATAAATGTATCAATAAATGACCTTTGTTTTGTTTTTCTTTTTCTTTACACTATAATTTTGGCTTATTGTGCACGTGTATATTCTTTAGAATGACAGAATTCAACATATGGTTTTAAATGATAATTTCAATAATTATTTGTTTCATTAAAAAGTCATTACAGAAGGTCGGAAAACTCAAAAAACCTGAGCAATTAACGTCTTAAGTATCTGAAAAGGCCTGGGCAGTGAACAAGTTAAAAATGATTTAGTTGTTGTGTAGAAAATTAAAGTGAATATAGTTTGCATTATATGAACATTGTAGACCAACTTACATGATCTAAACTCATATTTTTGTTTTGTTTAAGGGTGCAGGAATTACACAAAGCGAGGTAATCCAAGGAATGGTGTTTAAGAGAGAAATTGATGGGGAAGTCACCAAAGTGTCGAATTGTAAAATAGTAGCCTTTTCTTGTCCATTTGATATTATGCAGACTGAGACAAAAGTATGTTGACAAAATAAGTGGCTCAAAAGAGTCTCGTAAAAATGTTGAAATACTTACAGTAAAGCAAAGATATATATGACGTTTAACATTTCAGGGGATTTGGTAACCTATTGATCTGTCTGATTAGATCATAACACTGTACATCTGGTACAGTGTACTTCGGTATTTATAAGCTGAGAAAATATACATATGGTGTACTTTCAAATTATCGTTTGATAATCGTTAAAAATCGTTTGGAAATAGTGTAGTTGGCATTATAGTTTAGTTGAATATTGATTGTGTCATTTCCCCCCAACAGGCGTGTATTAAGTAGTAGTCAGCGCGGAGGGGGGGGGGGCATCAAATGGGCACAAAACCAGACCCAACTTTTCTAGAGTAAAATTTTGCATAGAATACGACGCCGAGTGGTAATCAGTCTGTCGTTGGGGCGTTTTCAAGATATTCGGGGTCAAAGGTCAAATGGGTTCATTTGCACTGAAAGTGAATGCGCGGTCATTCTTGTATCATGAAAATAAGCTGAAAATGATCGAAAGTAATCACACTTTCAATAAAAATGTAAACGGCATCGTATTCTACGCAAAATTTTACTCTAGAAAAGTTGGGCCTGGTTTTGTGCCCATTTGATGGACACCCAACCCCACCCCCACCCGCGCTGAGCCTCCGGTCTACACACTTTCCGAGTTGTATCGGCCCCGACCAAAACTGTCCTGATCTTAACCGATACGAGGAAAGGTGCTAATAAGTCACTGACATCACATTTCTATCGAGTATTGTAAAGCGAAATGTGGAAAATTGTACTCATTATCGAGTCGTGTCAAGCGAAATGTGAAAAATACTTTTTGCTCTTTCATTTATCCCTTTCTGTGCCTCGCGTTACATTTCGTGGTAGACTGATTTCGCATTGGAGAAACGACCCGAGTAGTATTACACGTGCGTTACCCTGAACGTAAAACAGTCATGTGGTTTTTTTAGACTGCACTCCGTATTGAAAGACCAAGTTGTTTTGACGAAGTCGGTGAACATAGAGCCGACCACATCGTGAAAACAAATTGTCCCTGGCGTAGAGGACTGCAATTATATTAAACGTTATGTAATGGACACTGCACAATGTGGATCAATCCTTGTGAAGTGTGCATCGGCGGATGGTTCTTCCATTAAAATTTATTTGTAATAAAATTTATGACCTTCAAGGCGTTTGTTTACATCCTGCTTATAACTCTTGGTTCCTTTCGATATTCGCGCATATCGGATTGTAACTTCCTGAATTATGGCCCCTGATTGTTCAAGAAATCGCGTTTTTGGCTTGTTGTCCCTCCAGAGGTCACATTTATTATCCGATTTAAAAAAAACGTTCAAATACATCACTGCTACATCGTAATTTTGGTTGTGTTCGAATTTCGTGAAAATCGGACCAAAACTGGGGGTTAAAATGGCCACCGCTTGTACACGAATAGTGTAAAAAATATGGTATATCAAGGTTGTGGACCCTCTAGAGGTCACAATTTTTTTATCCGATTTTGATGAAACTTGAAATGCATGTTTATAACCCAAAGACCTTGGGTCCTTTCAATATTTGCGCATATCGGATCGTAACTTCCTGAATTATGGCACCTGATTGTACGAAAAATCGCCTTTTTTCGCTTGTGAAGGTCACAATTATCTGATTTCAAAAAACATTTGATTATATCACCGTTAAACCGTAATGAAGGTTAAGTTCGAATTTCGTGAAAATCAGACCAAAACTGCCAGACAAAATGGCCGCCCCTCTTACGCAAATAGTGTAAACATCTGGTTTATCAAGTTTGTGGACCCTCTGGAGGTCACAATTTTGTGCTAATTTTGATGGAACTTGAAATGCATGTTTATAACCCAAAGATTTTGGTTGCTTTCGATATTTGCGCATATTGTATCGAAACTTCACGAATTATGGCCACTGTTTGTAAGAAAAATCACATTTTTAGCTTGTCACAATTTTGATCTGATTTTGATGAAACTTGAAATGCATGTTTATAACCCAAAGATCTTGGTTCCTTTCGATATTCACGCATACCGGATCGTAACTTCCTGGATTATGGTCCCTGATTGGTCAAAAAATCACATTTTTATACGCCCACATTTTCATGTGGACGTATATTGTCGTCGCCCCTGTCCGTCCGTCCGTCCACAATTGTTATGTGAACAGTCTACAGGTCACAATTTTTCTCCGATTTTAATGAAACTTGAAATATAGGTTTATCACCCTAAGATCTCGGTTCCTTTCGATATTGGCATGTATCAGACTTTAACTTCATGGATTATGGCCCCTGATTGTACGAAAAATCAAGTTTTTAGCTTGTGAACATTGTAGAGGTCACAATTTTTATCCGTGTACGAAAAATCACGTTTTTAGCTTGTGTAACCTATAAATGTCATAATTGTTGTCCGATTTAAAAAAAAACGTACTAATATATCACCGTTAAACCCTAAGGACGGCTGAGTTCGAATTTCTTAAAAATCGGCCCAAACTGAAATACAAAATGGCCGCCGTTCGTTCTCAAATAGCGTAAAAATATGGTATATCAAGGTTGTGGACCCTATAGAGGTCACAATTTTTATCCAATTTGGTTTAAAATGTATGCTTATAACCCAAAGATCTTGGTTCCTTTCGATATTCGCGCATATCGCACGGTAACTTCCTGAATTATGGCCCCTGATTGTACAAAAAATCGCGTTTTTAGCTATAGAGGTCATAATTTTTATACGCCCACATTTTCATGTGGACGTATTATGTCGTCGCCCCTGTCCATCCGTCCGTCCACAATTGTTTGTGGACTCTCTACAGGTCACAATTCTTATCCTATTTTGACGAAACTTGAAATATAGGTTTATCCCCAAAAGATCTCGGCTGCTTTTGAATCAAAACTTCATGGATTATGGCCCCTGATTGTACGAAAAATCACGTTTTTATACGCCCACATTTTCATATTATATTATGCCGTCGCCCCTGTTCGCCCGTCCGTCCACAATTGTTTGTGGACTCTCTACAGGTCACAATTCTTATCCGATTTCGACGAAACTTGAAATGTAGGTGTATCCCCAAAAGATCTCGGCTGCTTTCGATATTGGCATGTATCGGATCGAAACTTCATGGATTATGGCCCCTGTTAAACTTGAAATGTAAGTTTATAACCCAAAGATCTCGGATCCTTTCGATATTCACGCATATCAGACCGTAACTTCCTGAATTATGGCCCCTGATTGTACGAAAAATCGCGTTTTTAGCTTGTGGACCTTAAAGAGGTCATAATTTTTATCCGATTTAAAAAAAACTTATCATATCACCGTTACACCCTAAGGACGATTGAGTTCGAATTTCGTGAAAATCGGCCCAAAATTGACAGACAAAATGGCTGCCGTTCGTTCTCAAATAGCGTAAAAACATGGTATATCAAGGTTGTAGACCCTATAGAGGTCACAATTTTTATCTGATTTTGTTGAAACTTGAAATATAAGTTCATAACCCAAAGATCTTGGTTCCTTTCGATATTCGCGCATATCGGACCGTAACTTCCTAAATTATGGCCCCCGATGGTACGATAAATCGCGTTTTAAGCTTGTGAACCCTATAGAGGTCATAATTTTTATCCGATTTAAAAAAACGTATTATTATATCCCCGTTAGACCCTAAGGACGCTAAGTTCGAATTTCGTGAAAATCGGCCCAAAACTGACAGACAAAATGGATGCCCCTCGTTCTCAAATAGCTTTAAAATATGGTATATCAAGGTTGTGGACCCTATAGAGGTCACAATTTTCATCCGATTTTGTTAAAACTTGTACTGTAGGAAAAATCACTTTCTTTTTAGCTTGTTCTCTATCCATCTCTCGAAAATGTGGGTGTATTCTGCCTGGCAGCCGCTGGTTTGTCATTTAGTTACATAATTATTTAACAAACAAACAAAATGAACTTTCTCTAGATTGGACAATATATTTTTCAGGGCACTGTTCTTATTAAAAATGCTAAGGAACTTGTCGATTATAGTAAAGGTGAAGAAATACAAATTGAAGAGGTAGGTAGTCAGCTTTTCAATGAAAATTATTATACATCCACATTTTCATGAAGATGTGATATGCCGTCCATCCGTCCACAATTTGTTTGTGGACATTATACAGGTAACAGTTTTTATACGCCCACATTTTCATGTGGACGTATATTGTCGTCGCCCCTGTCCGTCCGTCCACAATTTGTGAACAGTCTACAGGTCACAATTTTTATCCGATTTCAATGAAACTTGAAATGTAGGTTTATCACCCTAAGATCTCAGTTCCTTTCGATATTGGCATGTATCGGACTGTAACTTCATGGATTATGGCCCCTGATTGTACGAAAAATCACGTTTTTAGCTTGTGAACACTGTAGAGGTCACAATTTTTATCTGATTTATTTTAAACTTGAAATGTATGATTATAACCCTGATATCAGTGGGTTATGAACATACATTTCAAATTTCATTAAAATCGGATAAAAATTGTGACCTCTAGAGGGTCCACAACCTTCTCATTACATACTTTAACACAATTTGAGTACAAAGAGCGGTCATTGTGTTGGGCAGTTTCATTTCAATTTTCTCGAAATTCTAATTAAATCTTCATTATGGTAGAAAGGTGACATATTTAAAGGGTTTTAAAATCGGAAAAAAAATTGTGACCTCTAGAGAATCTGCAAGCCAAAATGCGATTTTTCGAACAATCAGGGGCCATAATCCAGGAAGTTACGTTCGGATATACGCGATTATCAAAAGAAACCAAGATCTTAGTGTGTAATGGTGATATATTCACGTTTTTTTTAAATTGGATAAAAATTGTGACGTCTACAACAAGCTAAAAAACATGATTTTTCATACAATCAGGGGCCATAATTCAGGAAGTTACTACCCGATATGCCTGAACATCGAAAGGAACCAAGATCTTTGGGTTATAATAGGTGGAAAAGGTGATTTTGAGATTATGATTATACATTTGATTTTATTGGCTTTACAAGTAGATCTCATCATTCTTCTCACAAAACCTTTTACAGATTCAAAATCGGATGAAAATTTTTTCTTTTATGGAGGCTCAAAGTTGCAATTTTTGACTTTTCGCGGAAGAAAGGTTTTTCAACACTTTGAAAAAGTCATTTTTAGTGTGTTTTGTGATGCCATATTTCATTTCATATCAAAACTATCAAAAATGTAGATGTAAATTCATGAAATACAACTTTAAGGCTAATTATGTTTCAATTTTCACATTTGTGTAACAGTTACTCCGATTTCCACAGTAACTCCAAAATACATAGGTTTTCTCAAAAATTCCATTTTGTTAAAGTGATTTTGGTCAATTTTTTCATCAAAAATGGTCTTGTCCATGTTATATCTGAAATATTGAACCTGGTTGTTATGCATTTTAAAATCAGTAGCTATCAAGTAATATTAACAGAAATAAAGAGAGTAAAAATATCTATATGCCGTCTCTCAAGAGCTGAATATATGTTCATTTTTGAACAATTTTCCGTGGCACACAATTGTCTATTTTTGGGGTGTTTTTGGGACATTAATAAAATATGAATAGGTATAGGCAACAGCTAAGACAAAGCGCTGGAATGTGTGACATTGTCGCTAATTAGTAGAAAACATGGTCATATTTCCATGATTGTCACTAAATAACTATCGTATCAATTTTGAAATAAATTACACCTTTGCAATCGTCTTTTCTTACTCTTTATCACTGATACACTATTTATATATTTATTGCAAGAGAAACAGTAAAAAAAGGGAATTTTAAATGACTCGTTTCAGCCGCAAAGGCCGTAATCCATGTCAACTTTGGTTTTTTGCAAAGCATGGGTTCTAGAGTTTCGTAAAGCGCTCTCTTGCAAATTCTCAATGAAAAATGTATTGGCTACCATATTCTAGCATGTCCGTAGAGCTTTTACCACATACCACATTGTCCGGCCCGTTGGATGCCAAAAAAATCGAAAATTTTATGTAGTTTATAAAACCTCAAATTTAGCAGCAAAATAAGCATAGAACCCATCAAAATAATACAGAAAAACTAGGTACTAAAATGTTTGTTATGATCTTTAGATTTTATGTTTTTTCCGGCGCCTGTTGTTCCAAGGTAGCGCAAGCCAAGAGCATGCAAACTGTCGTACTCTAGTGACGTCATTGGTCACATAGCTGTTCGGTTTTTAACATTCCGGCCCCTCTAATTGCAGAAATATGTAAGTAAAATCATGATTTTATTGATAAACGTATTAAGAATAAGACTATGTAAAGCATATCCGTAAACTATTCCCGCTATATTTTTATTTGGCGTGTTCTGACGATGTGTAATTTAAAAATATATCAAAAAAACAAAGCACTCCGCCACTCGGTTAAAACACTGGTTTTAATTTTTTTCACGGCTGAATTCAAGCATTCTGGCAACATAGTCAGCTAGATATATGAATACATATTCAGCGAAGCTAGGATTCTGAATTATCTATCGTCTTCATGAATTTAGAAAACGTCTTTTAACAGTAACAGGTAGTTTTCATTTTCGACCTGTGACTTGAGTTACTTTCTGTTTACTTTTCCACCAATCAGGTATGTATATTTTGTCACGTGACTAAGTCGACGAAATATACATACCTGATTGGTGGAAAGGCTCATAAATATGTAAATTTTACCACATGGCTTCGATAATATTTCTTTTCACACTTTGAATTGAATTTATAAATGTTTCTGTGATAAATTTAGTATGAATACAATAAAGACAGCATGGATTTTGAAATTATTTATTTTAGTTCTCAAATACACAAAAATATATTATCCATTTCTGTAAAGGTGATGTGATACGAGACGGGGCTAATGAAAACGGGCATTTTTCGGCTGGGATCATTTTCTGTGTCTGATATCTTTCTTTAGGGCCTTTTCAAGGCTGTCAAAAGAATTAGGGTTACTATGGGGGCCATTGTCAGCTGATATGTGGAAGGAAAAACCTGCGGTACACTTAAAATTAATTTTATGGAGGGTTCAAATGGCTCCAGAAGCAGATTTTGTCATGGGCAGTGGCTAAAAAATGTCATTTTAAAGGTTCAACAGTAGTGAAGACACAGGCATTTCCTTGCATTTATTCCAACTAGGCAGTAGGTACTCTATGTTAAAGAAGTTGCAGTCGTGTAAAAAGCTTACTTTTTGATATATGGGGGGTCAAAACCACTTATTTTTGCTATGTCCAAAGTTGGTGGGTTCCCCAAATCCTGTAACTGGCCATATTTCACAAACTAGTAGAGATAATCAGTTAAAATTTTCAGGATGTTTTTATCTTAGCAAAATGAAACTATTGATACCGCAATTATGTGTTTTTATTCACTTTAAAAATTTGCTTGCCTATACCTAATATGAAGGAATGGACATACATTATGGGAATATGTCAAAAAGTTTGTGAATTTTTAAAATTAGATATTTCCAATCTGCCATATATTACCAATTTTGGTTGGCTGCTTTCGATATTCGTGCATATCAGACCGTAACTTCCTGAATTATGGCCCCTGATTGTACGAAAAATCGCGTTTTTAGCTTGTGGACCTTAAACAGGTCATAATTTTTATCCGATTTAAAAAAAACTTATCATATCACCGTTACACCCTAAGGACGACTGAGTTCGAATTTCGTGAAAATCGGCCCAAAATTGACAGACAAAATGGCTGCCGTTCGTTCTCAAATAGCGTAAAAACATGGTATATCAAGGTTGTAGACCCTATAGAGGTCACAATTTTTATCTGATTTTGTTGAAACTTGAAATATAAGTTTATAACCCAAAGATCTTGGTTCCTTTCGATATTTGCGCATATCGGACCGTAACTTCCTAAATTATGGCCCCCGATGGTACGAAAAATCGCGTTTTTAGCTTGTGGACCCTATAGAAGTCATATTGTTTATCCGATTTAAAAAAACGAATTATTATATCACCGTTACACCCTAAGGACGGCCGAGTTCGAATTTCGTGAAAATCGGCCCAAAACTGACAGACAAAATGGCCGCCCTTCGTTCTCAAATAGCGTAAAAATATGGTATATCAAGGTTGTGGACCCTATAGAGGTCACAATTTTTATCCGATTTTGTTGAAACTTGAAATGCAAGTTTATAACCCGAAGATTTCGGTTCCTTTCGATATTCGCGCATATCGGACCATAACTTCCTGAATTATGGCCCCTGATTGTACGAAAAATCGCGTTTTTAGCTTGTGGACCCTATAGAGGTCATAATTTTTATCTGATTTAAAAAAACATATTATTATATCACCGTACACCCTAAGGACGACGGAGTTCGAATTTCTGGAAAATCAGCCTAAAATTGACAGACAAAATGGCCGCCGTTCGTTCTCAAATAGCGTAAAAATATGGTATTATTGGTATATCAAGGTTGTGGACCCTATAGAGGTCACAATTTTTATCCGATTTTGTTGAAACTTGAAATGTAAGTTTATAACCTGAAGATCTCGGTTCCTTTCGATATTCGCGCATATCGGACCATAACTTCCTGAACTATGGCCCCTGATTGTTCGAAAAATCGCATTTTTAGCTTGTGCACCCTATAGAAGTCATAATTTTTATCCAATTTAAAAAAACGTATTATTATATCACCATTACACCCTAAGGACAGCAGAGGTCGAATTTCGTGACAATCGACTCAAAATTGACAGATAATAATGGCCGCCGTTCGTTCTCAAATAGCGTAAAAATATGGTATATCAAGGTTGTGGACCCTATAGAGGTCACAATTTTTATCCGATTTTGTTGAAACTTGAAATGTAAGTTTATAACCCAAAGATCTCCATTCCTTTCGATATTCGCGCATATCGGACCGTAACTTCCTGAATTATGGCCCCTGATTGTACGAAAAATCGCGTTTTTAGCTTGTGGACCCTATAGAGGTCATAATTTTTATCCTATTTAAAAAAACCTATAATTATATCACCGTTACACCCTAAGGACGGCTGAGGTTGGATTTCGTGACAATCGGTTCAAAATTGGCAGACAAAATGGCCGCCGTTCGTTCTCAAATAGCGTAAAAATGTGGTATATCAAGGTTGTGGACCCTATAGAGGTCACAATTTTTATCCAATTTTTGTTGAAACTTGGAAATGTAAGTTTATAACACAAATATCTCAGTTCCTTTCGATATTCGCGCATATTGAATTGTAATTTCCTGAATTATGGCCCTTGATAGTAGGAAAAATCACTTTCTTGTTAGCTTGTTCTCTATCCATCTCTCGAAAATGTGGGCGTATCCTGCCTGGCAGCCGCTGGTTTACTTTATACTACATGCTGACAGAAGCTTTGTATTATAGATGGCTGTCGATATTATTAAAGGCTATGACATAGTCAAAAAGAAAAAAAAAATGATTTTCAAGAAATTTCAATTGTGGTTGTCACGTGATCATTGTGTCGTTTGTCTATCATCGTCGAATGAATAAAAACTAAAAGGTGACACAAAAACTAGGGTGCTATGATATTTAAAGATTACGCAGAGGCTTATATTAAATTTTGCCGACTTAAACCCGTCTTTCCTCTGCTGGAACCACCAAAGATATAATGATATTTTTGATACATGTCTCACCACCTCCGTTAAAGGACGAAAGATTCGTCTACTTTGGCGCCATTTTGTGAAGATCATGCAGACATTAAGCAGCGATCTTCAAGACAGAAGAAACCATCAAACCGAAGTTACTATTAAATTTTGCCGACGTAAACCTGTCTTTCCTCTGCTGGAACCACCAAAGATATAATGATATTTTTGATACATGTCTCACCACCTCCGTTAAAGGACGAAAGATTCGTCTACTTTGGCGCCATTTTGTGAAGATCATGCAGACATTAAGACGCGATCTTCAAGACGGAAGAAACCATCAAACCGAAGTTACTATAAATAGCACCACTTTTCGACACCCACGGTCAGCACAAGACTTTTGACATGAGTTATGAATGGAAAGATAAAGTTGCAGTTAATTTTGTTGACGTTTATGATTTTCCGTATCATTGTTTACCGGTCCCATGAACTGCCGGGAATATAATTTACCGGTATACGTTAAAATTTACCCGTATAAAACCGGAAAATACCGGTTATCGGAAACTCTGTATAGAGGTCATAATTTTTATCCGATTTAGAACAAACGTTTTAGTATATGGCCGTTACACCCTAAGGACAGCTGCGTTCGAATTTCGTGAAAATCGTAGAAAAACTGACAGACAAAATGACCGCCCCTCGTTCTCAAATAGCAAAAAAATATGGTATATCAAGGTTGTGGACCCTATAGAGGTCACAATTTTTATCCTATTTTCTTGAAACAGACAAAATGGCCGCCCATCGTTCTCAAATAGCAAAAAAATATGGTATATCAAGGTTGTGGACCCTATAGAGGTCACAATTTTTATGCGATTTTCTTGAAACTTGAAATGTAAGTTTATAACCCAAAGATCTCGGTTCCTTTCGATGTTTGCGCATATCGAATTGTAATTTCCTCAATTATGGCCCTTGATTGTATGAAAAATCACTTTTTTAGCTTGTTCTCTATCCATCTCTCGAAAATGTGGGCGTATCCTGCCTGGCAGCCACTGGTATTTAATTTTTAAAATCTGGCCCAATAGCTTCTGATTTTGAAATAATACAATTATCAATACGTGGTATTGGTGTCATAATTATTAGAAAACAATGCTTTTGGAAAAAAATAACTGTCGTTGCTATGGTAACAACCGAAACTCTTCATATTTTTCTCAAACTTACACAATCCATATCATTTGATATTACATGGGTTTCAAATATTTTAAACTGCTTACTTTAAAGTGTGGTGATGACCTTTTGGGTTATGGAAAATAGCGTTGAAAATGGTCAAAAATTGCCTTTTTTTCCATTTTGGTTGCTATGACAACCAAAATTGATAATATATGGCAGATTGGAAATATCTAATTTTAAAAATTCACAAACTTTTTGACATATTCCCATAATTTCACTTGTATATGTCCATTCCTTCATATTTTATTAATGTCCCAAAAATAGACAATTGTGTGCCGCAGAAAATTGTTCAAAAATGAACATATATTCCGCTTCTGAGAGACGGCATATAGATATTTTTACTCTTTTTTTTTTTTTTTTGTTAATCATACTTGATAGCTACTCATTATAAATTACATAACAACCAGGTTCAATATTTCTGATATAACATGCACAAGACCATTTTTGATGAAAAAATTGACCAAAATCGCTCTGACAAAATGGAATTTTTGAGAAAACCTATGTATTTTGCAGTTGCTATGGAAATCAGTGTAATTATTACAATTTATATACAGTGTTTAAGGCCATGAGACGAAGAAGCCCATTGATTTTCAGCGATTTCCGATAATTACTGCCAGAGTTATGGCCCTTGATTACTTTGAAAAATCTTGTGGACACTTTAGAGGCTAAAGTTAATATCCCATTGACTTTAAATTTATACACAGTGTTTAACTTTAAGGTCATAAGACGATGAAGCCTATTCATTTTCAGTGATTTTCGTTAATTACTGCCAGAGTTATGGCCCTTGATCACTTCAAAAAACCTTGTGGATGCTCTAAAGGCTAAAGTTAATATCTGATCGACTTTAAATTTATACACAGTGTTTGAGGTCACGAGGCAAAGAATCCTATTGATTTTCAAAGATTACTGATAATTACTGCCAGAGTTACGGCCCTTGATCACTTTGAAAAATCTTGTGGACGCGCTAGAGGCCAAAGTTAATATCCGATTAACTGCAGATTGATACACAGAGTTTAAGATCTTGAGACGAACAAGTATATTGATTTTCAATGAATTTTTATGACTTGGAGCAGCTAAATTTATGATACAGTATTAAAAGTTTTGTATACAAAACGTTAGCATGGGACAGAACTTTATAAAAACCAAACAAATTCTATTGGTTTTCTGAGTTGTTGCTCTTAATCAGATTTTAGTGTATTATAAATGTTTCATTACCGAAAAAAGTAAAAATATGCGACAACTCTTGTTGACTGCCCGGACGATTTAGCTGCTGTGGGCGTATGTTTCGTTACCTGGCAACCTATCTTTGATGAAAAAATTGACCAAAATCACTTAAACAAAATGGAATTTTTGAGAAAACCTATGTATTTTGGAGTTAATGTGGAAATCGGAGTAACTGTTACACAAATGTGAAAATTGAAACGTAATTAGCCTTAAAGTTGTATTTCATGAATTTACATCTACATTTTTGATAGTTTTGATATGAAATGAAATATGGCATCACAAAACACACTAAAAATGACTTTTTCAAAGTGTTGAAAAACCTTTCTTCCGCGAAAAGTCAAAAATTGCAACTTTGAGCCTCCATAAAAGAAAAAATTTTCATCCGATTTTGAATCTGTAAAAGGTTTTGTGAGAAGAATGATGAGATCTACTTGTAAAGCCAATAAAATCAAATGTATAATCATAATCTCAAAATCACCTTTTCCACCTATTATAACCCAAAGATCTTGGTTCCTTTCGATGTTCAGGCATATCGGGTAGTAACTTCCTGAATTATGGCCCCTGATTGTATGAAAAATCATGTTTTTTAGCTTGTTGTAGACGTCACAATTTTTATCCGATTTAAAAAAAAACGTGAATATATCACCATTACACACTAAGATCTTGGTTTCTTTTAATAATCGCGTATCCGAACGTAACTTCCTGGATTATGGCCCCTGATTTTTCCAATTTTAAAACCCTTTAAATATATCCCCTTTCTACCATAATGAAGATTTAATTAGAATTTCGAGAAAATTGAAATGAAACTGCCCAACACAATGACCGCTCTTTGTACTCAAATTGTGTAAAAGTATGTAATGAGAAGATTCTAGACCCTCTAGAGGTCACAATTTTTATCCGATTTTGATGAAACTTGAAATGTATGTTCATAACCCACTGATATCAGTTCCTTTTGATATTCACGCATATTGAACCCTATCTTCCTGGATTATGCCCCTTGATAGTACAAAAAAATCAAATTATTTTTTTAGCTAGTTCTCTGTCCATCTCTTGCAAAATGTGGCTATCTTGCATGGCAACCACTTGTTTTATTTGTTTATATAATTCACAGATTGAATAAAGGTTATTGTAAATAATTAAATCAAGAAAAAAAGATTGATGCAAATTTTCCTTTAATAAGCTGTTGTTAAGACATAGTTGCTGTGTTGGGTGTATTACTGGGCTTTGCATGGCTATCTTTTCATAATGGGTGGCCGATCTTTGTTTTTGTAGCATATCAAGGCTATTGCTGATACAGGAATCAATGTTATTGTTACTGGTGGTAAAATAGGAGATCTAGCTCAACATTACTGTAACAAATATAAGTTAATGGTTGTTCGTCTCATGTCTAAGTTTGATCTCAGAAGACTGTGTAAATGTGTAGGAGCCACTGCTTTACCAAAAATTGTAAGTATTTGATGATATTAAAATTGTATGAAATTGAAATAGGGTTGGGCGATAATGAAAAAAAAATATCATGATAATTTATCAAATATCACGATAAACAATATTATCGTGATAAATTATATGTGAATTTAATTCTATCAATAGAATGTCGTACATTAGTCGAAGTAAAATATTAAAGATAACGGAAGGGTTCGAAAATCTCCTTATAAGACAGTTGCGACTGAGGTAAATACCGGATTTTACGGGGTATAATTCGAATCGTCATATTTTACTGTTTTTCCAACCTCCGTTCATAGATAAGTCGAAGCGGTGTAGTGTAAGACAAATATTTTTCCATTTATTTCGGGCAGTAATCTTTTATTGAGTTACGGTAGTGTTATTATCCTAGTCTAATACTGTGCCGATGTACTTAAAAAAAAATCAATTAATGTAAAATAATTAGTTGCTAAATGCACGACTAACCTGAGTAGTATTCTAAGTTTTGTTCTCGATTCATTTGAACCTTTTTATATTCCAATATGTCCGATAAATACAAAGATAATACATGGTTTCTATTCGCACATGACTGGCGATTACTATGTTACTAATAGTGGAATAAAATTAAAGGCATCTATTGATTGGACAAAAAAAAAATAATTACGGACTTTCAAAGTAGAATTTTTATGATTGGTTCATTTAGATGAAAGCCGAAGTAGAGTTTTTGCGAGAAATTACGAGAGATAGAGATATGTTTCTTGTTGGCAGAAAGATTCTATCTTGATGACATTTTCTAGCCTTTATTGAATGTTGGTTATATTTTTTAAAAAAAACATTAAACTATATATACTGAGCGCGATGGAAAACGCATCACTTTTTTTTCCCAAATATTTCATTACTAGGTGGTTTTGTATGTATAATTTTATGCAATACTATGAACTTTTTTTTCACACAATGCTCCCAATATTCACGTGCAGCATTGTGTGTGAGCCCTTTAAAAGCATGTTATCAACTTAATGTGCAGTACATGAACTGTGAAACGTCAATCTGTCGTAATTTGTTGTTGTACGTGTGAAGGAATCGAGCTAGACATGCCAAGACTTACTGAAAATCAACGGAATGAAGCCATGGGAATGTCCTGGGCTGGCATGTCTACACGTGCTATTGCCAGATACTTCAATTGTCATCAGTCCACTATTGTAAGGTTGGTGGAACGTGTTTCAGTTACTGGATCAACACGTGGCCAATAACGTCCTGGTCCACAACGCGTTACAGGCCACGAAATTTCACGCGAATGATACCAATCGGTTACGTGCGGTTGTGCTAGCTCAAAAACACGCGACCGATTTCCTGGTTACGCAAATTGAAATATCGGTTACGTTAACAAATTTCATTAACAGATTTATTCACATTTGATCAATTTTTATACAGGATGACTTGTGACGCAGGTCTAAATTATTTGCATTATAGCACAAACTCCATTCATTCATTCTTGGCATTTCATTTCTCCATCTTACCGGTACTTTGACAGATCACGTATTTTGACACCACGTAGGCTATTGACCAGTTGCAAGCACGTTGATTTCAAAATGCCCCTCACTCATAATTCTTGAAATGATTAGTTATGCCATAAATATTTGAAAGTGTACCTTTGGATTTTCAAACACCAAATGAGAAATGAGTTGGACTATTTAACATTTACTAATTTACTACACGTGTTCCTTTCAGTTTTCACTATAGCGATGCTGTAGTACCAATGACCCGTATGTATGTCGTCAACTTTGACCCCCTCCCTGGCACATGGCATCGCTCGAGCGATAATGTAAACGATTTTACTGTCCTGTCTATTTCTATACGCCCACATTTTCATGTGGACGTATTATGCCGTCGCCCCTGTCCGTCCACGGACACTCTAGAAGCCACAATTCTTATCCAATTTTGACGAAACTTGAAATATAGGTTTATCTCCAAAAGATCTCGGCTGCTCTCAATATTGGCATGTATCGGATCGAAACTTCATGGATTATGGCCCCTGTTTGTACGAAAAATCACGTTTTTAGCTTGGGAACCCTATAGAGTCACAATTTTTATCCGATTTTGTTGAAACTTGAAATGTAAGATTATAACCCAAAGATCTCGGTTCCTTTCCATATTCGCGCATATCAGACCATAACTTCCTGAATTATGGCCCCTGATTGTACTAAAAATCACGTTTTTAGCTTGTGGACCCTATAGAAGTCATAATTTTTATACGCCCACATTTTCATGTGGATGTATTATGCCGTCGCCCCTGTCCGTCCGTCCACAATTGTTTGTGGACTCTCTACAGGTCACAATTCTTATCCGATTTCGACGAAACTTGAAATATAGGTTTATCCCCAAAAGATCTCGGCTGCTTTCGATATTGGCATGTATCGGATCGAAACTTCATGGATTATGGCCCCTGTTTGTACGAAAAATCACGTTTTTAGCTTGTGGACCTATAGAGGTCACAATTTTTATCCGATTTAAAAAAACGTATTATATCACCGTTACACCCTAAGGATGGCCGAATTCGAATTTCGTGATAAAACGGCCCAAAATTGACAGACAAAATGGCCGCCGTTCGTCTCAAATAGCGTAAAAATATGGTATATCAAGGTTGTGGACCCTATAGAGGTCACAATTTTTATCCGATTTTGTTGAAAATTGAAATGTAAGTTTATAACCCAAAGATCTCGATTCTCTTCTATATTCGCGCATATCTGATTGTAACTTCCTGAATTATGGCCCCTGATTGTACGAAAAATCGCGTTTTTAGCTTGTGGGCGCTATAGAGGTCATAATTTTTATCCGATTTAAAAAACCGTATTATTATATCACCGTTACACCCTAAGGTAGGTTGAGTTAGAATTTCGAGAAAATCAGCCCAAAATTGACAGACAAAATGGCCGCCGTTCGTTCTCAAATAGCGAAAAATATGGTATATCAAGGTTGTGGACCCTATAGAGGTCACAATTTTTATCCGATTTTGTTGAAACTTGAAATGTAAGTTTATAACCCAAAGATCTCGGTTCCTTTTGATATTTGATATATCGGACCGTAACTTCCTGAATTATGGCCCCTGATTGTACGAAAATACGCGTTTTTAGCTTGTGGACCCTATAGAGGTCATAATTTTTATCCTATTTAAAAAAACGTATTATTATATCGGTTCCTTTCAATATTCGCGCATATCGGACCGTAACTTCCTGAATTATGGGCCCTGATTTTACGAAAAATCGTGTTTTTACCTTGTGGACCCTATAGAGGTCATAATTTTTATCCGATTTAAAAAAACGTATTATTATATCACCGTTACACCCTAAGGATGGCCGAATTCGAATTTCGTGAAAATCGGCCCAAAATTGACAGACAAAATGGCCGCCGTTCGTCTCAAATAGCGTAAAAATATGGTATATCAAGGTTGTGGACCCTATAGAGGTCACAATTTTTATCCGATTTTGTTGAAAATTGAAATGTAAGTTTATAACCCAAAGATCTCGATTCTCTTCTATATTCGCGCATATCGGACTGTAACTTCCTGAATTATGGCCCCTGATTGTATGAAAAATCGCGTTTTTAGCTTGTGGGCGCTATAGAGGTCATAATTTTTCTCCGATTTAAAAAACCGTATTATTATATCACTGTTACACCCTAAGGAAGGTTGAGTTAGAATTTCGAGAAAATCAGCCCAAAATTGACAGACAAAATGGCCGCCGTTCGTTCTCAAATAGCGAAAAATATGGTATATCAAGGTTGTGGATCCTATAGAGGTCACAATTTTTATCCGATTTTGTTGAAACTTGAAATGTAAGTTTATAACCCAAAGATCTCGGTTCCTTTTTATATTTGATATATCGGACCGTAACTTCCTGAATTATGGCCCCTGATTGTACGAAAATACGCGTTTTTAGCTTGTGGACCCTATAGAGGTCATAATTTTTATCCGATTTAAAAAAACGTATTATTATATCACCGTTACACCCTAAACATGACTGAGTTCGAATTTCGTGAAAATCGGCCCAAAACTGACAGATAAAATGGCCGCCCTTCATTCTCAAATAGCGTAAAAATATGGTATATCAAAGTTGTGGACCCTATAGAAGTCACAATTGTTATCCGATTTTGTTGAAACTTGAAAGAATTCGGTTCCTTTCGATATTTGCGCATATCGAATTGTAATTTCCTGAATTATGGCCCTTGATTGTAGGAAAAATCACTTTCTTCTTAGCTTGTTCTCTATCCATTTCTCGAAAATGTGGGCGTATCCTGTCTGGCAGCCGCTGGTTATCTAAAAGGGTGAAAACCTATAAATTTATGTACTTAGTCTGCAGAAACCTCAAGCTTTTCAACTTTTGATCGCCATAATTCTACTTTTATGGACAAAATTTCTCCTTTGTACTATCAAATTTTGACTTTCAACTTTCCGCTTTCTACTTTCTACTTTCCACTTCAGATTTTCTACTCACGATTTTCTAACGCAGATTTTCTCCAATACTATGGTGGCTGATAGTGGCCATGTAATTTTTCGCCATTTTATAACTCGACAACACAACATAAGGACATTATTAGTGAGAGCATACATCAAAGTAGACTTGAATATTGAGACTTTTGGCAAGCGGAATCTTTCACATCCATATCGCGTATCGTATACGTGATACGTTGCGTCAGTGTAGTTTTTGAGTTTTGACAGATGTTCGCGCCGCGTAATCCCCGGTTGTACGTGACAAGGAGTAGGGTCGCCTGTCCAACCTCGTGGGTTTTCTCCGGGTCCTCCGGTTTCCTCCCACTACTAAAAAGACCCCTACGCGCAAGCGAATTATTGAAATAAAATTAAACCATATGTTAGTCCCGAAATGACCTAGTTTGTGTCGAGTGGACGTTAAACCCCATTTCTCACTCTCACTCTCGCGCCGCGTAAGTTTGAGGAGCTGAGCTTAGTTCTCTTACACCATGATGGCGGTTATCTACCCAAATCACCATCAGTGCTAGTCAAGTGCCTA